CAAAACAGACAAACAAAGATCAGTATTGCAGCCTTGTGGTAGAGCACCTTTCCCCATGAGTCATCCTGACAGCCTGAACTTGTTCTTCTTAATGCTATAAAATATTCTGCAAAATGCCTTAAGGATATTGTAGTTACTGTCCCCAGAAGCATGGCTACTAGGAGTATACTAAATAGGTCCAGCCCCATAAGCTTAAGGAAATCCTAGTACATCATATTACAAGCTTCTCTGGAATTGGCAGGTACACCTTGACTCAGTCCCCCCTGACCTGATAGTCACCTTGGAAGACAGGGGATTCCCCCTGCCAGATTGCCTATAGAAGACAGCTGCTTAATAATATTCACATGGTAGCAGAAGAGAACCAACTCCTAAAAGTCTTCCTCTGCTATATGCACTTGATGACATGTATGTGACTACACACACACACACACACACACTAATAATAATAATAATACATTATTTAAAGTATAAAATGATCAAAATACATTGCATGAATGTATAAAATTTTTTAAAATGTCATACTTAATATGTGTGAAATGTGTTCACTCCAGTCCCCATTAGACAAAGACCTTCTGAAAAAGCAGTCATGGGGCAGTAAGATTTTTGCCAAACTTGAAGATCACCTGTGTCTATTAACTACTTTAGTTTTTAAAAGTGTTTAGAGTTAAAAAATATCAACTTTCATTTGACATCATGTAGCATCTGTGAAGCTATAGATCCATGTACTGTTTATGATTTCTTCCAGATGCCAACCAAGGAGAATATACAATTAGTCTTTCTTTCTATGTCAGGCCATAGACCTTTTATTTTAAAATCATCCTGGGCACCGGCAGAAATGCATAACACTTGGGGAAAAATCACCTCATGCCACATTTACTCAGTGAAATGTTTAAAAATACTTTTCATTTTAAAGAAGGATAAGGTGACAAGGTGGACAGGTGACAGCACATCAGGAGGAAATGTCTAGGGCCAGCAAGATGGCTCAGTGGGTAAAGGAGCTTGCCACCAAGCCAAGCCTGAAGACCTGAGTCTAATTCCTAGGACCCACAGGGTAGAAGGAGAGTACCAACTTCTGTAAGTTGTCCTCTGACCTCCACACATGTATGCCATGAGATGTGTACATGCCAACACATACATATATATACAAAGATAAGCATAACAACATTTTTTAAATGGAGGGGAAAATCTTACATGAATACTCTTACTGAGGAGCCGGTCTTAATGTAGTAGCAGTTTGTAATGAGGTCTAAGCTGTCCATCTCTAGCCTGTGCCATAGCTGCTAAAATGAAAAGTATTTTTAAACATTTCACTGAGTAAATGTGGCATGAGGTGATTTTTCCCCAAGTGTTATGCATTTCTGCCGGTGCCCAGGATGATTTTAAAATAAAAGGTCTATGGCCTGACATAGAAAGAAGAAAGACTAATTTATCATCCCAGGTTTCTGAGAACGGTATTAATAAAAGTACCACACTGGTGACTTCTCACTCAACTCTGGACCCTAAGTCCTAGGAAGCTTCTAGAAGCTGGTGCAGTCAATCCTGGCAAGAAAGGAGCAGCTGTCGGAGCCCGTAGTCCCCATGGAACAGAAGCATGGCTGCTCGAGGAAGGTACGGGCTTCGAGCTCAGTTCCGAATCCAACAAGAACTTACTAAGTGAAGACAGTATCTCAGCCGGGAAGGGGAATGACCATCTACTCTGTTTCTTTCCAGCCTCCTTCCTCTCTACATCCTGCCCCAAGATGAGCCAGTTTTTCGAAAGCCCAGCAGCTGAGACTGAAAACTCCTACGAGCTCTAGGGAAAGTGACCCAGTCCTTGACTGTTTTCCCTGACATTCCTCTGCCACAAGAGTCCCTCATGGCATGAGGCTGTGATCCCACTGACCCATTCCTGGTCAATGAGCTCCTCAGCTGGAGTCTATGTCCAGAGAGAAGCCTAGGTCTGCCACCAACTCATACCATGTGACTCTGTCAAAAATGGGCTTTCTAAATTCTTTAAGTCCTGAAATTCACTATTTTGCCCACACCAGTGAGTGCAGAGAGCAGCCCCCCTCCCCGCCCCTTTACAGGCATCTGTCCCCAGGTTGGCTTGCCTGGAGGAGTTCAAGTGTCTCTAGAATCCAGAGGTCCTACGTTGTCATCACTATCTGTCCTGGGCACCAGCCTTACTTGGCGTGTCAGGTTACCAGTGAGCACTCTGGCTGGGTGGTAGCCCTGCCTCTGATATTTATAGAGCTCTCCTGGGCCTGGCCCTAACAAGAGTCAGATGTGTTCAATCCCTGATTCAAAAAGGCTGTCTACATTCCACCTAAATCATGGTCTTGGAGTAACACCTGCAGGGAACAAGACAAGATCTCACTAGTGACGGGGTGAGGCAGGGGAACCTTCTCTTCCCATCCTCTCCCTCTCGAAAGGGACCCATCTTTCCCCAGGTCAGACTCTGGCTCCTTCTAGCACAGAGGAACACATGCTCCTGCTCCGGCCTCTCTCTGCTAACCTTTAATTTACTCTTCCAAGAGAGTTCTGCTCCCCAATCCCACCTTTGGGCTCCAGTTGAGCTACCCATGGCTTTTGAAGGAGCTGCCCCAACTTGGCTTCTGAAACCTGTGTCAGGCCGGGGAGTGGTGGCACACGCCTTTAATCCCAGCACTTGGGAGGCAGAGGCAGGTGGATTTCTGAGTTCGAGGCCAGCCTGGTCTACCGAATGAGTTCCAAGGACAGCCAGGGCTACACAGAGAAACCCTGTCTCGAAAAACCAAAAGAAAGAAAGAAAGAAAGAAAGAAAGAAAGAAAGAAAGAAAGAAAGAAAGAAAGCTGTGTCAGAGCCCCCACCTGAAAGACATGGGTATCAGTCACACGTGGCAACATGCACATGTACAGTTAGCTGCCCCTCAAGAGGTGGCTGGACTCCTGACTCCTGGACAGCCTCCAGGTCCCAAGCCATTTCATGTGCCCTGGAAAGGTATTTATATAGTTCCTTGGAGTAAATTCACTGTGACAAAATACTGACTTCCACTGCACCTCACTGAGGAGCAGGGAGGCTCTGGGAAGAGAGAAGGAGACCACAGGTGGTAGAGTGTCAGCATGTACCTGAGCATAAACAAGAAACACTGGCACACTGGCCCTCCCTGTGGTTAGTACCTATGGCGAAGATAAGACAGAGAGGAATCTAGATGTCGTTACCTGTAAGGACGGTGTGTGCGCGTGCATGTGTGTGCGCGTGCGTGCGTGCGTGCGTGCGTGCGTGCGTGTGTTTTGGAGGGCTGCTAAATAGATATGCTCTGTATTTACAATTAAATTCTCCCTTGGGGCAGTGTGAGTTTGAGAGGGGGCCTCCTTTGTTGATGAGGCGGCACCTCCCTGCCCTGCCCTGCCCTCCCCCTCCCTACTGGCTCCCTCCCCAGCTTCCCACACAAACACCCTTGCCCAGATTACAGGCCAACCTCAGCTTCTGCATTTGAGGGACAGAGAAGGCTCCAGGCTGTGCGACCGGCTCTCTCTGACTCTCCATTCTTGTGGGGGTGGAGGTGGTAAAGATCCAAAACCCCTTGGAGGAAAAACAGGTTCTACACCTTCTGGCCACCCCTAGTGCCTCTCTAGGCTGTGGGCCGGGTATCTACCTGCCCAATACCTTGTAGGGACCCACACCTCTTAAAAGGTTTCTCCGAATTTCCTGCAGCCCACTGAGGTATCTCCTGGTGGGAATGGGGGAGGGGGAAACACAGGGACGATAGGGAGAAGGTGTGGCCCAGCAGCCTTCAGTACCAACCCTACCAGGTCTCTAGGCCAGGTTTCTCCACCTTCAACAGGAGGGTGTGCTGTGCCGGGACAGCCCAGAATAAGGCTCTCTGGGGGCAGGGGAAGAGGAGGCACTCGGAGCTCAATGCATACCCCCATTGGCCTTCCACATCCTTTTCCCTTGGGTCTCCCTTGTCACCTGCATGGGTCCATCCTACAGAACCTCTACCCTAATTTGAAAGTGACATTCCAGGGAGAGGTGGGCAGCCTCCATGCCTGGGTTTCGGTTTCTCTCTGATTCAAAGTGCTCAAGCAGAGGCGGCTAGAGGTGTCTCTTGTGCCCCTCATTATGGTAAAATACACATAGCATTTATGATGTAAACCATTTGTAATTCTACAAGCACACGGCCTGAAACGAACCAGCAATGTTGAGTAACAGCCACCACTATCTAAACTCAAAACTTTCCATCATCCGCAATTAAATCTGTACCTGCTAAATAGTTCAAAATCCCAGCCGTCTCTATCACCTGGCAACGATCACCACCCACTAGATTGTCTTTGAACTGGCAGGTTCTAGGTGCCTCACAGTAGTGGGGCCCAGCTCAACTCAACCTAGAAACTTCAGTCCTTCTCCAAAGTTGGCATGCACACTCAGTTATACCTCCTTTTCCCATGGAATCATGGGTGTCATCCCTCCTTCCCTTTAAAGCCCACAGATCTGCCACAGTAGTCAAGAGCAGGCAGGGGGGCCATCCTTGGGGCTTACCCCTCAGGCTGGGACACCGTTAAGAACCCAAGGAAGCTGCCCCTCGCCGCTGTGGGGCGCCACGGAGCCCAAACTCCGAGGAGCGCGAGGCCCTCAGGGACCCGCGGACCAGGTCCTGCCTGACTGGTATTGCTTGGGAATCAGACGCTGAGTACCACAGGCGACAAGTGGACTACTCTGGACTTTCTTTCAGAGCTTTGGGACAGCGGTGGCGGAGAGGGGATCCGCCCTGACTCTTCCCCAAACTTTTCCGCCCGCTTGGGCACAAAAGGCGGCGAATGCCACTCAGGAGTGGCACGGTGGCCTTGGGGACATCAAAGGGGAAGTCTGCGCCCCAGAGGTCTGGAGCAGTGGGGCTGTCGCATGGACCGCACCCCAACCCCTCCCTGTAAGCCACAGATTCCCCCGGCCCGTCCCAACTTCTAAAGAGTGCAGACCTCTCCCCTGTCATCCCGGAACCCCGACGTCACTGCAGTCCCTGGGCGCGTCCCCAACTCACCGGGCGCAGGCGTCTGGACACAGTGGCGGGCTGCGCGTGGGGCGAGGCGCCGGCTGTTTTGAAGCTCCGGGCTGGGACTGCGCGGCGTCCTCCGCCCTCCGGGCCACCGAGCCTCCTCCCCGCCGCCCTCTCCCGAGCCCGCCTCCCTGTCCATGATGTCAGGAGCCGCCGATCCAGGGGGCGGGACCACGGGAGGCTGTGGGGACCCCCCCTCCTCTGCTGGGCGGTCCAGCGGCACTCTGAAAAGTTCAAGAGAGCTGGAAGTCTCTTACTGAGAGCATTGCTACCCTTCTCATCTCCATCACCCCTCTTCTCCTGACTGCAGGGTCAGGACCCTGCGATTCCCTTTTCTTAACTAGCAGCCCTCTGTCTCTCTTACTAATTTAGCAGGTTGTTAATCTCTCCTGCCTCACTTTCCTAGAACAGAAACGGAAGGCCTGGTGGGACCTGGCCCTGAGGTCTAAAGGCCACACTCACACAGTGCCTTCAGGAGAGGCTGAGTAGATATGAGCCAAGCCATAACTGAAAAGCCACAGTTCCTTCCCTGAGGTAAGACCACCATCTGGACCAGTCTTAAAATCCCTCCAAACCTGGCCAGGCCTGTAATCTTAACTACTGAGAAGTCTGAGGTAGAGGGTCCAAGTTGTCTCCACTGGGCATTGTATTCTTGCTTTCTCTTTTTCTTAAGCATTCTCTCTCTCTCTCTCTCTCTCTCTCTCTCTCTCTCTCTCTCTCTCTCTCTCTTTCTCTCTCTCTCACACACACACACACACACACACACACACACACACACACTTTGCAGAGCTGATTTTCTCCTTCCTCCTTTGTGTTACTCCTGAGGCTCACCAGGCTTGCACAAGAAGTGCCTTCACCTGGGAGCCATCTTGTCGCTTCAGTTATTTCCGTTTTCAGTATTTTTATTACATTTATTTACTTATTCGCCTCTGTGTATGGAGAGCACACAGAGAGAACCTTCCACTGCATAGATCCTGGGGACAGAACTGAGGTTGTCACACATAGTGGCAAGTGTCTTTATTATAAACACCAAAAACAACATAGAGAGGAAAGCACTGGTTGCACCTTACACTTCAGGGAGCTCCTCACTGAGGAAAGCAAAGCTCACAACCCAGGGGCAGAGACTGGTGCAGACTGTGGAGGAAGGCTGCTTACTGGATTGTTTCCCTTGGCTTGCTCAATACCTTATATAGTCCAGGCCCACCTGGACCTGGGAAAGGACCCAGGGATGGCATTGCCCACAACGGTGGTCAGAAAAATATACTACCAACATGTCCACAGACCAGTTGGATGAGGCAATCGCTTAATTTGTTTCCTCATCCTAGGTGTCTCTGGGTTTGTGTCAAGTTGACAGCTGAGCTAACTATGACAGCCGTCTTGCCAGCCCTTGATTTATTTTATTTTTTACTTATTATTTTTTGAGACAAGGTCTTTTATGTGACCCAAGCTGCCCTTAAACTCTCAACCTCCCAAGTGTTAGGGTAACAGGTACACATGGCAAATACCACCACCCCTACCACCCCAAGCCAGGCCACTGCATCTCAGTGTTCATGGGCATCATTTGAAAATTCCTTTGCAGATCTCTCTAGAGGGACACTCTCACTGGGTCTAAGTTAGAGACTCCTTGGGGGACAGGACACTCCCAAATCCAAAGGGTCACTCCCCTAGGCCTCCAGCTGATGTGGTTAGTCTAGGATCTCACTTCCATTTTAAGGCAAATGAAGACTCATATTCCTCAAGTCATTGGACAGAAGCTATTACTTTGAGCAAAGGCCTGTCTGTCCCATGGTCATCTGGAAAACAAAACAAAACAAAAAAAACCAAAAGCTTTGCAAAAAAGGGAGAGTTCCAGTGGCTACTATTATTTACTAACCATTAGCCACATGTCAAATACCTTACCAACCTTACCTTATTATTGTTGCTATTGAGACAAGGTTTCATGTAGCCTAAGCTGGCCACCAACTTGTTACTAAATAACCAAGGATGACCTTGAGCTTCTGACTCCTTGCCTTCACCCCAAAGTGCACACGTGACAGGTGTGTACCCCACTCTCAGTTTTTGTGGTGCTGGGGATGGAACCCACAGCTTCTGGATATTAGTCAAGTTTCTTGCTTGACAAACATTAGCTGTAATGTAACACAACTGCCCTGAAAAACACAGCCGCATTTTATCGACAGTGAAGCTGAGACTCGTGAAAATATGAAACGACCCTGCACAAAGGCCCTATAAGAATGACCACGTGGATTTAAACCCAAGCCGACTGCATCAACCCCTTTTTATTCTTTCTTCGTCAAATAACGCACCCTGTTTATTTAAATATATTTGTTTGAAAGGAAGCCCTGCATTGCAAACAGGAAGCCAGGGCCATCCTCCAAAAATAGAAGATAAACTTACAAATATAAATACCACCAAAATAAAAGTGTTAGCAAGCTGAAGCCAGGCGGTGTTGGCTGAAGGGGCTACAAGCCCACGGATTAAGGTCTACAGCAAAGGTCGATGGCAAGTGCCCACCACAGACCGGCCTAGAGAAGACAGCTCTCAGACCTCAGGCCGAATGGCTGCTAAAGGACCAACACCTCACCCCGAGTGAGTTGGGTGTTGCCTTTTCCTGTATCTTTCCTGGGGCCTCCTGCTGTTGGGTGTGTACTGAATTGGGAAGAACAGGACTGAAGAAAGGAATGGGAGGTTGAGCCTCTCCCTTTTCCAGACCCTCGGAAGAGCCTCACCCACCTGTTCCCTTCACCTTCGCCTGTTGATTATTTTCCTTTATTTCCTCTCTCCAGGGGGAGGCAGAGGCCAGCCCTATATATGTAGTACGCTTACTCCTGGCCTCTCAATAACGAACTTGAGACCTCAGAATGGTGTGGGGGAAAGGGAAGGTGTGTTCCATGGAGTTCTCACTCCCAAAACTTTGATGAGGTATAAATGGGCGGGGCACATTCTCTCACAAGCTGGAGCCCTGGCTGGACCACGTGATTTACTACAGCCAATGAGTAATTAACAACAAAGCCTTTGTGAAAGTTGGAAGCCTTTGGGCTCCTGTCACATTTTTGCCATTTGAAATCAGTAAAATAGCATTCTGGTACCCAAGTGGGCTCAGATAAACGAAAGCTCCTTGGATCAGAGCTACACTGGGTAAGTTGCAGGATTTCCCACCCTGAGGCCCCAGAGCTGCAGCGTGGTGCGGGAGATACGCATGACCATTTCTGTATGCCACTGTGGCTTCTTGGCTATTTGTTTTTTTTTTCTTTTTTTTTTAATTTATTTATTTTTGAACATGAAATGCTTTTTTATAGCATGTTTTACAAGGGGAGGGGGTAAGAGGGGCCAGGTGGTGGAAAAGTACAAAATCTTCTTGGCCTGTGCCTTGAAACATGTCATGGTCTATAAGGTACTCTGCCTTGAATTATGATCTACCTGCTGTTCTTCAGAAGATATGGTACACTGCTTGAGTTATGGTCTCCCTGCTATTCTTAAGATGATATGGTACACTGCTTTGAGTCTATCTGCAGTTGCTAAGCAGGATCTTGCAGTTGTCTTGGCTATTTGTTAAGAGCTAGTTAATAACAGGATCATCTTGCTTGGAGACAGGGCATCTGAAGCCATGGGAAGCCATGGAGAGGCTACATGAGGGGTTGGGTTCAGGGTTGGGGAAAGAGATAGCCTATAGACATAGCTCAGCGGTTAAGGGCATTTCATCCACAGTTATAAGGATTAGAGTTTAGGTCTCAGCTCCCATGTAACAAACTAGGTATCCCTGGAAACACCTATAACTGCAGCTCAGATGGGGACAGAGACAGGAGGATTGCTGGGGAGTGCTCACTTCTAATCTAGCAAAAGCCCCATCCTCAAGGAGAAACCTTGCCTCAAAGGAATCGGTGAAGAGTGACAGAATGGGGCATCTGACACCCTTTTCTGGCCTCCATATGTGTATGTGCATACATGTGTACATACATGGAGTGATACACACACACACACACACACACACACCCCACATATTTTCTTCCTAAAGAGAGAGACTGGTTGGACTTGACAGTTTATGCCTTATATCCCAGCCCCCATGAGGCAGAGGTAGACAGATCTCCATGACTTTGAGTCTAGTCTGATCTATATAACATGTTCCAGTCCAGACAGGCTAGATGTAGTAAGACCCTATCTCAGAAGAGAGAAAGAGAGAGAGAGAATGTAATGGTCTCTCATTGGCCATGGCCCAGCAGATGTACTTCAGAGTATCTTCAGTTTCTTGTCAATGTTTCTGTTGGCTCCTTTTTGTTCTCCAAAGAAATGCACAAAGTTAGCTAAGCCTGGAGCAAATCTGGTCACAGGCGTAAGCAGCTTGTGTTTGTTACGTGTCTGTGGCTGTGACAATACCTGACAAAACAACTTAAGGAAGGAAGGGGTTATTTTTGGTTCCCGGTGTGAGAGTACAGTCCATCATGATGAGGGAGTCATGACAACAAGAGTGTGCAGCGGCTGGTCACACTGGGAGGTGCTGCCTACAGTCACATGTGAGTGAGTTTTCCCACCTCGGTTAATTCAATCTAGAAAGCCTCAGGCAGACATGCCCAGAGGATAGTATCCTAGAGGATTCTAGATGGGTTATCGATAGGAACTGCCACACACAGCCTAGCAGAGTAGGTATTGGAGGCAGCATGGAGTCCTGTCCACAAAATGGAGATTTTAAAGCAGATGTCATTTAGGTTCTCAGTGTCATCAGGAACTAATCACGGTTGAGTGTGGTCCAAGCATCATGTTTAAGGAGTTGAGACCTCACAGATGCCCTGGGGTTTGTTGACTTCCATTCGAGGATTTCTTCCGAGAACAGTTTGGTGTCTAGGCTGCTGTGCTGACCTCAAATGCCTGAGGTGCCTGGTATTCGTCATCTGTCGTCCCCAACAACAGACTGGCTATTATAACTTACTTCTAGTGAGCATACTAAATGTAATGTGTGTCACTTGACTAAGTTTTGAAACACTGTAACATCTGTCTCACCAGCCAACTTTCTCTGTTACCTTCTAGGCTTGTGTCCTGTGTGGTGAGCTAGCTTATTAATGATTCCACTTGGTAAAGACTG